CTTATCCTCTTGCTCTTTGAGCCTTGAAGCAGTCAAGCATGGACACACTATATTTATATCAGCTGTTGGAGTGGAACCCTGTACAGGTAGGCTCTACTTTTCAGGGGGGGGGGTGGGGGGGGGGCAAATGACGTCGGTTCGTGTTTGGGTTTTCGTCGGTTCGTGGTTTCGTCGAGTCACGTGTTCGTCGGGCGTTGTTTTTTTTGAGTTTGGCAGCCGGATGTCAGACAAGAGCGCGCCGCAGACACCATCTCGGGCCGCTGGTTCGCGGGAGGACCCGATTCTCGGAGTAAAAGTAAAAGACATTTTTATGTGCTGAGATAGTGACCTCAGGCTTGCTTCGGAATGTTTGAGCAGGTTCTTTGATTGTTGTGTGCAGATGGAGCACTTGCATGGTCGGCCGCTGCTGCCAAGTACCCTTCGAAGCGCTTGGCTGTGAAACACGTCAAGCATGTGAAGAGTCAATGGACTAAGAGGGCCAATGGTCAACTCAAAGCAGACTCAGATGATCTTTGGCACCCAGCAGCTAGATTGGCTGTGGTCGTGGATGAAGAAATTCATCTCGCCACAAAGCAAGAACCGGTCCAAAGGATTGGTGAACCCACGGCTGTGGAATAGAGTGTATCAGTGGGTGTATCGCAACCACACGCGAAACACCTGAGAGCGTGCCGACCACGGCTGAAAAAAGGCCACTATACAACTTTTTTTCGACTTTTGAAGCGCTCAAAACGCCATTTCGTATGGGCCTGCCCACACGAAGACGGGGGGCCCGTACGGACGTGACACCTTGTTTTTGGACGCATGTACCATGTGTATATATATATAGATATATCGACTTTGGCTGGGGTTCTACCAGCCACCTGTGTCAGGTGATTGTTTCCACCTCTATAAGGATGAGTGAACTTTAAGCGATTGTAAGACCTTTGAAGGGGGGTATCAGTTCTGTGTATGTGTTCCCATGTTTTCCCCTCAATGCTCAACGTTTGGGTATTTATACGATGTATATGCACCACTCGACGTGTCCAACAAATGTGCTGACTCCATGCGTCGACCATGCTTCCGCTGTGTGCCCGGCGTTGCGCAGGGAAGAGGCCGATGACGTGTCCTCGAAACTGAGCAACGAGTTGGCCGACTCGCTGCTGAACATCGCCATGGACCAAGCGTGTCTTGGGCGGATCGGTGTGGCTCCAGCGACGAGTGTGGTGCGCGAAGCTGTTTGTTGGGTGGATCAGTATGGATCGGTGTGATGGCGAACAGGGCCACTGGAGGTAAAGATGAAGTCCTGCTTAAACGAACAAAGGCGCGTCAGAAGATCAGGTCAGGAGAGGGCAATCTTAGAACAATATAGTTATTTGTGATTTGTTTGGTGGGGGGAGGTCAGGTTACTTTGTGTAAAGTGTTCGAGCCCGGTGTCATGGGTACACAAGTGACTGCGGCTGGATGCAGACAGGGTTTCTACTGTACATACATTACTGCACCTATCATGTTTGATCAAATCTCATCAATTACCTGCAGCAGACAGAGCCAAGTCGAGCTGGGCCCAGAGCGAGAGAATTTTTTGATTCTTGATCGGTTGGCTGAGGCAAGGGTGGAAGCTGAATCCTCGGCAGTTGGCAGACTTTACCAGGCTGGCAGTGGAGAGAAGCACTTTCGGACCCGAGGAAGAAGTTGACAATCTGCAGGATAAGGCTGCAAGGATGGGGACGTACATAGCTTCATCTAGTCACATGACCTCGCAACCTAGATGACATGTGATTATAAGGTCGCGCACGGCGTATAGGATGCAAAGGGCAACACATGCATACACATGCTGCTTCCTTTTGGAAATCCCAAGGCACTATATGGAGTGTTCTGACTGGAAGGAGTTGTTTGCAAGATGCCACCCCCATTGCCTTCAGTGAGCACGAGATTGCCACCGATTCTTGTAGGTGTCCTTCCACTTGGAGATTGGGAATTTCTAGTGCCAGCCTCTTGAAAACAGCTCGTTCTCACTGTGAGCCCGGCGTCCTCCGGCGTCCAAACCCGACCTCTACACCTATATAGGACGTGAAGACCACTCGACCGGCGTGCCCGGCCTGCGACCCCCTCGACCTTCGCCAGGTCAGTGCGTGCACGGATCTTCCGAACGGTCCATTTGGAGCCGCCGGGCATTGACCAGAGGATGTGTTTTTTTGGTGTGTTTTCTTGTTTTTTCCCATCGGACTTCTTTGGAAACACCTTTTTAGAATTTTTCCCTCAAATAGCAGCTGTTTTTTTCCCATCGGACTTCTTTAGAAACACCCTTTTAGAATTTTTCCCTCAAATAGCAGCTGTTTTTTCCCATCGGACTTCTTT